GGGCATCAAGGGTGAAGAAAATTTTATACGGAGTAAGAAGTGAAAATTTTAGAGAGAGAGAGAGAGAGAAAAAAAAAAGAGAAAGAAAGAGAGAGGGAAAGGGAAAGAAAAAGAGGGAAACTAGAAGAGGAGGCTCTGCCCAAGTTTCAACTCCTGCTTATCCAGGTAAGGGGGGGAGTGAGAACCTCGCTCAGGGGTGTGGGGATAATTGTTGGATAGTTGTTTGTCGGATTGGCCCCCAATCCCTTGTCGTTGTTCTGTTTGATTTTCTATTTACTCTACTATGTTTTTGTTGAAGGTGCCGTTGTTCTGTTTGATTTTCTATTTACTCTATTTTGTTCTTTGTTGAAGGTGCCGTTGTTCTGTCCGATTTTCTATTTATTCTACTTTGTTCTTTGTTGAAAGTAATAAATGAATATGAAATTAATGTTAATAATAAATGAGTTTTAATATGAAAAAGAATGCTCTCTAGATCTCTGTGAATTCCTATGCGGACTTTATGAGGAGTATTTATGACATGACCATGTGAAATATGGACAAATGACATGAGACCTAAAAATGGACTATTGAGACAAGATGTGATTATGAGGACATGAAAAATGATGACATGATGTATTTAATGAAATTCTGTAATAAGTTAAATGTTGAGTCAATGAGATTATGAATGTATGACATGCATCATATGCATATATTACTCCAGGTGTGCCGCTGAGGCCGCATACCAACGATGCTAACTAGGTGTACCTTCGGGTCACCCACGACGTAACATGCTAGGTGTACCTTCGGGTCACCCACGATGTAACATGCTAGCCAGGTGTACCTTAGGGTCACCCACGATGTAACATGCGGGGGGAGTGAGAACCTCGCTCAGGGGTGTGGGGATAATTGTTGGATAGTTGTTTGTCAGATTGGCCCCCAATCCCTTGTCGTTGTTCTGTTTGATTTTCTATTTACTCTACTATGTTTTTGTTGAAGGTGCCGTTGTTCTGTTTGATTTTCTATTTACTCTATTTTGTTCTTTGTTGAAGGTGCCGTTGTTCTATCCGATTTTCTATTTATTCTACTTTGTTCTTTGTTGAAAGTAATAAATGAATATGAAATTAATGTTAATAATAAATGAGTTTTAATATGAAAAAGAATGCTCTCTAGATCTCTGTGAATTCCTATGCGGACTTTATGAGGAGTATTTATGACATGACCATGTGAAATATGGACAAATGACATGAGACCTAAAAATGGACTATTGAGACAAGATGTGATTATGAGGACATGAAAAATGATGACATGATGTATTTAATGAAATTCTGTAATAAGTTAAATGTTGAGTCAATGAGATTATGAATGTATGACATGCATCATATGCATATATTACTCCAGGTGTGCCGCTGAGGCCGCATACCAACGATGCTAACTAGGTGTACCTTCGGGTCACCCACGACGTAACATGCTAGGTGTACCTTCGGGTCACCCACGATGTAACATGCTAGCCAGGTGTACCTTAGGGTCACCCACGATGTAACATGCTAGCCAGGTGTACCTTAGGGTCACCAACGATGAATTGTGAATCTTCCGTATGGCGCCACATGCATGCATTTATGAGTCAAGTCCATGACATCATAAGCATGATAAATGAATATATATGTGATATTGATGATATATGTGTATTGTTTACATGTGACTTATATATGTTTTGTATGTGTGTGCTATCTAACCTTTATTTTTGCACCTGAAACTGAGTGAGATGTTTCTCACTCCCTTGTTATTTTTGTATATGTTTTAAATTATGTTGCAGATGATCAGCATCATGGGAATGTTGGTGATGAGGCTTAAAGGCTTCAGTTGGGCATGCTCTGATAGGATGTGACATCGGGGCATAGATAGCTTAGTTTAATATGTTATTGTTTTAATAACTTTAGTTTCTCTTCTTTGTAATTTCTAACGAAAAGAGATAACGTAAATAAAGTTGTAATCTTTCTTTTGTAATTTGAACGTTCTTGATAAAAAAATAAAATGTACATCTTTGTTATATTTTTATTACATGATTTGGAAAATATAAATTAATTCCTAACCAGGAGGCACTGCCACCTTTACTGGAGTTAATTTATATTTCCTTTATTATTATTAGTATATATATATATATGATTTCTTGTGTTTACTAAATTGTATTGAAAATCTTAACTTCTTTTCCTTTATAATTTCTACATTGGAGTTATGACCTATGAGTTTTGAATGTGAATCTTCTACCTTATGACGTTTGAAACAATTGTTTATATATGAAAGATGGTATCAAATTATGAAAGGTTTTTAATTACCCAAAAAGAAGAAAAGAAAAAAAAATTTATTGTTACATTTGTTGTATATTAACATTGGGGTAGAGGGTGTCACATATGTGGTATTAATCTGCTCATCATGATCAAGAATACAAAATAGTCTAGGAGTAATGGAATGGGACCACCCTATCGAATAGTGTAAGGACTATCCGTCAATAGTGATCCCCGAACCACCTTAACTAGGGGATGTTTATCAGCAAAGTTTTGTCAAGGTGTTACAGTTGGTCATAGTAGTCTCCCATTTCTGTTAGAGGTTTCCCCACCATAACACCTTCAGGCACAAGTATATGTGACCTATGATATCCCACCTGCATAGACTCATACTATTCTACAAAACAAAGTATGAATTCATTGACTCAATACACTCAATACAATAACACAATATGCATATTCAACTCCTTGAGTGTCAATTCACAGTATTGAACTTATTCATCATATCTCATCATCAGCATATATTCTCACAATGTACATCATTACAGAATCCATCATAACTATTCAATGGTATCTCAAAATAAATTCTTCATACATCATCATAGGTATAACATAATAGATTACATCAATTTCCACAACATTTTGCATTAGTTCCTTTTATTAGTATTCAATCTTAATCCCTTGTCACGATCCCACATTTATTAATTAATTCATAAGGTAAAACATTTTAAAAGAAAAAGAGGCATGCCCGACAAGATTTGATTCACATCTAGCATGAAGAGGTTAAGACCTTTTTGTCAAACTCACGCCCGATGTGGAATCACCTACACTTTACTAGTGAGGTTTGGGACATCTCTGTCTTAGTCTCACCTAACATGGTCTAGGTCATGCCCAACGTCACCATGCTCGAAAAAATCAACATCAAATGGTGTCAAATGTAGGACCTCACGCCCAACGCCACGAGGTCTAGGACCTCTTTGATAGTCTTTTGCTCGGCGTGACCATCTTTAAGCTTGGCCTGGTCACAAATTCTATAGTTCATAGACTTGTGACCTGCACTACTCTTCTTCCTCCATAAACTAACACATACAATATTTTCTGACATAATTCAAATCAATCAATTGATTGAACCACACAAAGGTATTCATACACATAACACAACTTAATCATACAACCTACGGGGCTTAGAGATCGTTCTCACTACCCTTATCCCTCATATATGTTCAAGGAATCGATAATCTTACTCCCACTACTTGGAGTGATGATTTTCGCATAACGATACTTCTTCGGTAGCTCATCCCATTAATCCATGCCTCCTCAATGATCTCCTCTAAGTCTCCTCTTACAAGTACTCTAGATTTTTCAAATTGAGCACAAATGATCTAATCCCCTTTCTATTCTTTCTTTTGAATTAGTCTCTCGGTTGGACTCATAATCTAGTCCAAATTTTTTTTAATTAGTTCTCCCAATTTTATTTTTATTAATAAAAATACTCCTCTTATATCTTTTTAATTATTCTAATTCATTTATTATTTATTTTTTTAAAAAAAATAGGATGTTATATTGTACACATACGATAAGTGTCATTTTTTATCATGTCAGATGTACAAAAAAGTAAATATTATTAATCTCAATTAAATGGAAACGACTACATTGATTTTCTAAGATCTTTTTAAATGACACAACTTTCTCTTTAATTTTTATTTATATAAGTAACAAGTACAATCAAAATAAGATAACATCATTTGTGCACCATTAAGAGAGAATAAATTATTAATATAAGTGTCAGCAATTGAATGAGGCTTAATTTCTTATCCAATTTCAACTTCTATATTATATTTTAAATATCATATATATTGTGATTTAAAAAAATATACCAACTTTAAGGAACAATTTAAAAGAGAGTTAAAGAATTATTATTTTCAAAACTGAAAAATAATATTTTTTTTATAAAGATAACAAAATATTATACATAATCCAAAAATGTGTAGTAAATATGGATTAACTTTTATTTATTTATTTCACTTTAACTAATGATATCATTATAAAATAAGTGAATAATTTTAAAAATTAAAAAAAATATACCATTTAAACGGATCTTAAAGAAAGTGAGTGGAATTTTCTCTTTAACTTATAAAAAAAAGTATTTTATTTTTATACTGATTTATTTATTACAAGCAATTTTGGAAATGCTTATTCAAATATACTCTCTAACTGTTTTGGTAATCATGGAATAACTACCATCTTAAGCATAAAGAAACTGCATACCCATGTAGAATCTTACGGTTAAACATAATAAGTTTAATTTTGTTTTATTTTATGATACAAGAAGATAAACAATGAAGGGATGGGATCGGTGCGGTTTAACTTATAACTTCAGTAGATCAAAATAAAAAAATAAAGAAAACCTCCCTCTATTCACTATTATATTAAAAAAATTTAATTTTACATACATTAAAAAAATTAGTTACGTAAATTAAATTTTATCAATCTCATAATATTTTCCATAAATTCTTCTTCTTATAATTATCAAAAGAAATAATAAAAAGTATCATTAAATAATATAAAATAATAAAAAAAATATTTAAAAATAAAAAATAATCAAATTTCTTATTATATTTTCAGATTCACGAAAAAAAAATGAAAAAAAAAAATTATTTGTTTTTTCTGTTGTAATGCGTAACGGAACAGAGAGAGCACACTCTTGCACAATGCAAAAATATACTCTTAAGAAGACTCGCTGTCAGCACTTCACTTCAAGTCCCGATATATTCCTTACTCTCCACTTTCTTACTTTACACGCAACAATTACCAAAATCGTTAACGCATCCTTTCAGCCTTTTAGAGCAATCAGAAAACTTCCCTCCTTCCGGATTCAGATTCTCCAATGGCGCCAACACTTTTCACTCTTCAATTCCGTTACGCTTTTCTTCTTCTTCTTCTCAATCTCCTTGCAGGTTCCGCTCTCTGCCACATTCCATCCACCCTCGAAGGTCCCTTCGATCCCGTCACCGTTCCATTCGACGCCGCCTTGCGCGGCGTGGCAGTCGACTTGCCGGCCACCGATCCCCGCGTTCGCCGCCGTGCCGAGGGTTTCGAACCCGAACAGATTTCAGTGTCTCTCTCTACCACGCATGACTCCGTTTGGATCTCCTGGATTACAGGTATCTCCGGTTAGACTATACGCATACTCATGCTACTGAATGTTAGTTAATTAAGTTGTTAACATTACTCATTGCTAGTTATTAGTTATGGTTTAGGTGATATCAATGTGAATTTCATGCAATTTATCTTGGATTCTTTATAATTAAAAATATTTTATTTTAATTTTTATATATATTAATTTTGTTTTCTTTTTTTATTATTGCATAAACTTTATTTTTTATTTCTATTTTTAGACAATTGAGACTACAATAAAAAATAAAAAATATGTATAAAAATTTTAATAGAACATTTTTAATTAAGAATTAAAAGATAAAATTTATGAAATTACATGGGTTAAAAGAGTACTTAAACATAAAAGGAAATTGTGTTTCTATCTCACAATGTTAAAATTAAATAGAAGAAGATCAGGTTCATTACTAGTAAGGTGACTATGATAGTAGTTGTATTATAAGTGAGACCAAGAACTCCTACTACAGCTACTTTGCTCGGGTAGCTCTTTGAACCAGAAATTGGCATGGTCCTGCCTGAAATAGTATATATCACTCATGGCATGGCTTGTAATGAGGGATGTCCACATTGATAATTGTATAGCGTGCTTGGTTCCAATCCTACACATACAGTAAAAAGTACTTTAAGTAAGCTGTGAAGTAATTAACAAGAAACTTGCATGGAATAACAAACAGTAGTTCAAGAACAATGACCAAAGACAATGATTGGTCTTTTATATATATATATATAAGAAGAGAATTTCGTCCTCGTATTTTTCTTTAATTGGTGAGTTTCAAACCTTTTTATGAAACTAACTGTCAGGATGAGAGATAAAGTTTATTAGTTATAAAAAAAGTACAAGTACCTTAAAGAGAATAAGACATTGAGGGATTTACCCCAATTTAAAACACTTTATGATCAAATGTGGTTTTGGTCTATCTTCGATCACTATGGATTGTGTTGATGGTTACAATTAGTGAGTCGAGCATAAATTAAATTGGGTTTAGATATTTTTAATTCAACGGTGTTACGGTGTTATTCATGTTGGATTGGGAATGGTATGATATTACCAGGGGAGTTTCAAATTGGTTTCGACATCAAGCCTCTAGACCCTGAAACTGTCTCAAGTGTTGTTCAATATGGAACTTCAAGATTTGGATTAGTGCATGAAGTTAGTGGTCAATCTCTCATCTACAACCAGCTCTATCCTTTCGAAGGCCTTGAGAATTACACTTCAGGAATCATCCACCATGTTCGACTCACAGGTGATCTTTTTTTCATTTTATTTCCTATTCAATAGGACAAACTGGTCCATATAACTTCCTGTTTCGCTGTTTCTGTTTCACTGTTTAAGTGTTGTGTCAAATTATAGTGATGCGTTATCCATACACATGAATACACCCTATGTAATATGTTCTCATTATAACTTGGTCATTGTTCTTGAACTACAGTTTGTTTATTGTATGCAAGTTTCTTGTTAATTACTTTACAGTTTACTTAAAAGTACTTTTACTGTATGTGTAGGATTGGAACCAAGCACACTATACTATTATCAATGTGGAGATCCCTCATTACAAGCCATGAGTGATATATACTATTTCAGGACCATGCCCATTTCTGGTCCAAAGAGCTACCCAGGCAAAGTAGCTGTAGTAGGAGATCTTGGTCTCACTTATAATACAACTACTACCATCGATCACCTCACTAGTAATGAACCTGATCTTCTTCTGTTGATCGGTGATGTAACCTACGCGAATTTGTACCTCACAAATGGTACTGGCTCTGACTGTTATAGTTGCTCATTTCCACAAACACCTATCCATGAAACCTACCAGCCTCGATGGGATTATTGGGGAAGGTTTGTGGACAAATTTTATAATTTCTACGGAATAGTTTATGGTTAACAGAAAATCACTGTGACAGTATATTTTATATTATATCTTACTATGCTACCATAAATGAATGATTCTAGGTTTATGGAGAATTTAGTTTCTAAAGTTCCAATAATGGTGGTAGAAGGAAATCATGAAATAGAAATGCAGGTTGAAAACAGGGCATTTGTGGCCTACAGTTCTAGGTTTGCTTTCCCCTCTGAAGAAAGTGGATCTTCATCTACATTCTATTATTCTTTCAATGCTGGGGGAATTCATTTTATCATGCTTGGGGCTTATATTAATTACGATAAAACAGGTATTTCTCTGTTCTATTCTACCCCTTCTCACTGTACAGTCATTTTCCTTTCATTGATTTAATTTGGGTTATTACTTATTAGTATTAATTTAGTAGGCAGGCTTTTCAATTCATGTTTTGTTAAACGGGAAGAATAAATGAATTTTGTGAACTTGAAGTTTTAGCTGTGTGGGGATGCCATGGTTACACTAAGATGGATTTCCTGTTAGTACCCTACCAGCTAAGTTCCCAAGCATTAGCCGTCAATCAATTTGAGAAGTTACTTATAGTTTATTATCTGCACAAACTGGCAAATAACTTTAAGTTAGCACCACGTGAACTGGTTTTTTATATGAAAATTGTGTCATATTTTATTAAATTTCCGTCAGAGTAAATACTAAAGTGAAAATGAAAATTAAAAATAATGAGCCAAGAGTATGACCCGTATCAAACTTCATTGTGCTTCTCAAGAATGAGGGATGGTATTTGAGTTAGGCATAAATTTGGATTCACCTGTATACTACTATTTGTGGAACTTGACCGTGTATTTTGGAATGACATGAATCATAAGCACATGTCAACCTGGACCTGGAAGAAAATTTTCACATTTGATAAAACAATCTTTCCTCGAGTCAGAAGTTGGATCAAAAGAAGGCTAACATATCATCTAAAATTTGAAAGAGCGGCAACATGTTTTAGTTCCGACATGTTACAATTAAAGCAAAAAAGGAGAAGATAGTATTTTCTTTTTGACACCAGGAGAAGTTAGTATTATGTTGTAGAAATGGAGACAAATAATAATATTAAGTTATACTAGAAGGAGTGATTTAACGTGTGTTGAATGTGTTTAAAATTTGAATTGTTATCAATTCAAGTGCAGTTGACTTTGTATTCTTTTTCTCTATCTTGCTATCTGAGCTGCTTATTGCCATGGCAGCTGAACAATACAATTGGCTGGAGAGAGATCTGGCCAGTGTTGACAGATCAATAACTCCCTGGCTTGTGGCTACTTGGCATCCACCATGGTATAGTTCTTATGAAGCCCATTACAGAGAAGCAGAGTGCATGAGGGTGGAGATGGAAGACCTGTTATACTCGTACGGTGTGGATATAGTATTCAATGGACACGTGAGTCATCCTAAGTCCTAATCAATTAAATGATGACAATCCAATAATCCATTTTGGCTTGTTCTTTTACATCCTAGGAACTATCAGTCATGAGAAAAAGATGAAAAAAAAAGGGGTTTTATTCTAATGGTAAAGGTTAGTTTAATTACAGTTTTTAAGGTAGACTGGGGATATATGCAGTGCATTAATTAAAAGCTTCAGCTGCATCAGTGTGGAAGCATATATGAAATAAAAGCAATCTGAATATCATGGTAACCAAATGATCGTGTTCTTCTGAAGCAAATTGGAAAGCTTATCAGCCTGGTTGATGGGTTTTATGTATGATCTGCTTTTTACTTAGTTCACCACAAGCATGTAGTTAACAATGATGCATATATATGCGCCCGCACTTCATCAAATATTTACATCATTTAGGCCTAAACTTGTGCGTTTTGCTTTTACTTAATTGATCAACAGGTTCATGCTTATGAGAGGTCAAATCGGGTTTATAATTACAACTTAGATCCATGTGGTCCTGTATATATTACAGTTGGTGATGGGGGTAACAGAGAGAAGATGGCAATCAACTTCGCAGATGAGCCTGGTCATTGTCCTGATCCATTAAGTACTCCCGATCCTTATATGGGTGGCTTTTGTGCAACAAATTTTACATTTGGCCCAAAAATGAGCAAGTTTTGTTGGGATCACCAGCCAGAATACAGTGCTTTTAGAGAAAGTAGCTTCGGCCATGGGATTCTAGAGGTACCATTCCTTTTCTACCCCACCATACCTTTTTCTTTTTTGTTTTTGTTTTTGATGATAACCCCACCATACCTTGTGCAATACAACACAAGCATGATGGTATAAATGTTGTTTATATCCAATAAACTGGCATACTAGTAGTTATGCTTGAGTACACAGAAATTATGTGGTGGACAGTTAAACATTAAAAACTCTGCTATATCATGTTAGGTTCTGATGCTATGAATAAATATTTGCCGTATATTAGAACACGGTGTTGGTCTCTTCAATAAGCATATAACCTTTTATAAGCTGTATTCCACTCAGGAGTCGGGACATGTCAAAATCAAGAAGAGGCATTCCTGG